CTGATCCATTTAAAAGAGTGCCTCAAAATGTCATAGATGAAAAAGTTATCCCGAAGTCAGGCAGTATGTATCAAGATTTTCATAATAAAAATGTTTCAAAATTATATGTTAAAGATGGTATACCAATCGATTCACGCTCAGGTCTCGAAGGCTCTGCCCATATTTACACAGAAGAGAGTAAAGTATATTCCATTACTTTGAGTAAAGCTAATGTGGAAGACAACAGAAATTCATATTATAAGATAGAAATGTGGGAGTCAGACACTGAAAATAAGTATTGGATTTTTCGAGCTTGGGGAAGAATTGGAACAAAAATAGGTAAAACAAAACTTACTTGTTACACATCAATTGATACTGCTAAAAAAGAGTTTACGAAAATTTACACGCAAAAAACAAAAGATTGTAAAAAAAATACCGAATCATATGTTCCAATCGATCTTAATTATGAAGATTTTCAACAATCGTCTTTTAAATTAGATAATAATTCAAAAATACCAAAATCTGTTCAACTTCTAGTGATAAAGATCTTTGACACTGAAATCATGAAAAAAACACTATTACAATTTGAACTTGATATTGAAAAAATGCCTCTTGGGAAATTATCAAAATTGCAAATTAAATCAGGTTATTCTGTGCTATCAGAATTATTGGGGGAATTCAATAGGAATACAGAAGACAAAAAGAAAATTAAAGAAGCTTCAAACAAATTTTATGCTTTAATTCCCCATAGCGTTGGAATTGATAAACTTCCATTATTAGACGGGTCTGAAATTATTGAAGAAAAAATAGAAATGTTACATAGTTTATTAGAAATTGAAATCGCTTATAAATTACTACAGCTACCTTCCGACGCTTCTGTAAGTCCTATTGAAAGTCATTACCTTAAATTAAATGCGGATATAAAACCGGTCGATAAAAATTAACCTGATTATAAACTTCTTTTAACGTACTTAAAAAATACTCACGCCCCAACACATTCAAACTATACTCTAGAAGTAGAAGAGATTTTTAGAGTGGTACGTGAAGGAGAGGAGGAACGATATGAAAAATTTAAACGGCTTCATAACAAACGCTTGCTTTGGCATGGTTCTCGAATCACAAATTTAGTTGGAATACTTTCTCAAGGTCTACGCATAGCTCCTCCTGAAGCACCTGAAACTGGAAAAATGTTTGGTAAAGGTGTATACTTTGCAGACATGTCATCAAAATCCGCAAACTATTGTTTTGCAAATAAGAATAATCCTACAGGTTTTGTTTTTGTTTGTGAAGTAGCACTTGGTGAAATGAAAAAATGTTACAAAGCACTGAGCATAACAAAGCTTCCTCCCGGCAAAGATTCAGTGTGGGGCGTTGGTCGAACGCAGCCAGACCCTTTGCAAAATAAAACGATAGATGATGGTGTCATTGTCCCTTTAGGCACTCCAGTCGATACAAAAGCTCGCAGTTCACTCTTGTATAATGAATTTATTATTTACGACATTGCACAAGTAAACGTTAAATATTTACTTCAATTAAAATTCAATTTTAAATGAAAATTTTACTCTTTAACCTTTATAACTCTTTATTAACATGTTTAAAAAAAATGGTGCCCATCATTGTCTTATCATCATTTCAAATAAAATTGAATATCGACTGAATAATTACTTGATCTGTATTGGTTGATCGTTAAGAAATTAATAATGGCATATATATACATGACTTGTTTCAATGATTATAAACAAATTACAATTGAGAGTATAGTTCTTAAATTATGTAAGAATTACATGTAGGTATCTACCGACACAGTTTTCAGTCAGGCCTTATCTGATTGAATTCAATGATACCACTACGCACTAAGAGGCTTTATCATATTATTTAATCTTGCATTCATATTACTTATTAAGGGTTTAGTACACATATATAATTATTACCTGTATAAAGCTGTTGATCTTGTTTTTTGTGGCATTCTCGAAAACTTTAACGGTTTTTTAATACAACTACAATATTAAATTATATGGGTATTCTAAGTATTGATCGAAGTCATAAAAATTAATAAACATACTACTGCACTACTTTAGCTCAAATTAATATTAAATTTCAAATTCAATTGTTTCATAAAATTATCCACGATATGAAATTGATATCGTCTTCTTTACGCGTTTTTACTAATAATTGTGCAGAAATTCATGTATTTCAAATTTTTATAAATAGCATAATTTGCTTCCCAATTTAAGATAGTCTTAATAATACAACTTAAAGTGGCCTAACTCTAAATCATTTAACTATTGTGCCACAATTTTTGATAGTCTTCACCAATTAAAAAAAAGATAGATTCTGTAATAAATATTTATTAGTTTTGTCTTAATCATCACGAATTTAATGAACGATTTCTTTGAAACGAACTGCATATAAATATCTTTTAAGTTTAACTGTGATAATTGAACAGAGGTAATTTAATGGTTATTCACATATTTAGGCACTAGAAAATGTATACGATTTTTTCTTGCGATATAGTCATTTAGTAATGTATAGGTTGAGCACAATTATAATAATAATTTAAAATTTTTATTGTTATGGATCTTAGGTATGAAATAAAATTGTTTGATTAAATGATATTAAAATTTACCTACTTCTCGTCTGACTCTTGTATAAGAGTTAAAAAACACTAGGCATATAGAATATATAAAAATAATATAACATTATCAAATCTGTACAAAATATCCCAAAAATTAGAAAAAACAATGCGATGGTTGGGGCAAAAAGTTATAACTGCCACTCATGGACATTTGCAACACCTGCAGGGTTGCAGATGCGTTTTTAATAAAGTGTGCCCCGGCCACCTAATCACCAGACGAAACGCAGTAGTATGACAAATCAACTTCACGCCGGCCTTTTTTATTATCACAAAGATATTATGCACACATTTATCACAAGTACCTGGAGGATCGAGCTTTGCTCGGTTTTGTTTTTTTTTTTTGTAAATCGTGTATTTTGGAAATTACATTTAGATACAAATTACTGAGTAATGAAATATGCATAATATTTTTTGATCTTACCGACCTAATAATAAGAAAATATGAAGTGGTGTTTTTCACAAAAGAAACAACTTTAAAAAAAAGGGGAAAAAATAACAAAATCATGTGGATCTACAAAAAATAAAAAATAAAGAAAGCAATGATCTGGAATGGAAAAAAGTACAAAAAAAGAGTGTGTAAATGATCGTGACACGAACCACGGCCATCTGTTTTGGGTCCGCCCGATTACCGACTGAGCTATTATAACATTTTCTTTTGCGGCGAAATTTACCGTCCCATTCGAATGATATTTTTCATTCCTTACTAGCAGCTAGCAGACACGGTGGTGAAGAGAGCTTATGATGGACGACCTGGAGGCCCACGGCTGGTTGGGCGGCCCAGATACAAGACGGATTTGATTACATGTTAAAGGGAGCTATTGATTTAATTTTAATTGTAAAGTGAAATCAACTGCTTGACTTTGTACTGGTTTTTCTACAAGAAGAAAAACAAAAGACACTACATATTTATAATGACTGGTACTACAGATCTGATAGGACCCATCTATTCAACAGATTCAATACAAGTCGAGAATAAGTGCGCCTGGTAGGAGAGAGCGTGAGCAATCACGTTGTTGGTATGATTTTTCTAGTTTGTTCTTTTTGCTTGCCGTGCCTTCAGAATCATACATTAATAGTTAAAACAAAAGTCCTTGTCGTAAATTAATTATAAATTTCTAATAACAAATAATAGTTTAATTAAATTATTGTTTCTTAAACTATCTTCACGAGTAAAAAAATGTATCGGAACACATATAAAAAAGCGTTAAAGTTTTTAATTTACTCCAAAAATGGAGCGTATTATACGATGAAGCGAATGTCGACGTAAAATGGAAGATACTCGTATCCAAAACGGTTAATATTTGGCGCTAAGCGCTCAATGGTGTTAATTTGAGTGCGACGCACTTTAACCACCTTTAACTGTTTCCCATTGATCTTCGGATAGCTACCTGTTTTTACGTGCATAGAAAAGTTTAGAATGTTAACCGTCGGTCTTTAAGAAGTATTGGACAAGTGAGTCATACAAAGCCTGTATATTAATAAAGTGAATATTGAAAAAAACTTCCATATTTAAGCTACCTAAATTGAAAACATAAAAGGGTATAGAACTAGTCGACTCAATAAATATACTTTATCTTGTTCATGCCAATACGAAGTAAGACCGCTTTGCCTTTTCAGCTCCTAAAATATAGCTATTGACCCAGAAGATCATTTATTAATAATTTGGTTGTAACGCAGCTTTTTTTTATAAATGTCTCGGTCTGCGTACGTTTGAGAAATGAGAAAACTTTCCTTGGGGTAAATCGTATACTCAGTCAAAACAAAACAAGAATAGAGTATCATGATGTCATAAATTAAAATTTCAATTTAATGCAAAATGTCCAAGCCTGACACTCTCTTGACTCTATTTAATTTTTCTTTCACGTTTTGCGACTTTGAGAATAATAATTGCAGCCGTTTGCAATGGTCTGTAACAAAGAAGACAGTTAAATTAAAATATATTATGGCACGCTAACAGACGTCCATAAAAGAAATAACGGAGCCTTAAAGTCATCGTTGTAAATACACCGCCCTTAGTTACGGAGTATTTTTCATCCTAATGAAACTTTATAAGTCCAATGAATTGATGTCATCCAGTATTACCACAATCTTTTAATTTTTCTTTAATTAAAATTCAGTATCCTTGTATTATTTCAAACATTCAATAAGAAGTAAGTAATATCTGCAATGTTTAAAGTTGGGAATTTCCAAAAGGCCTAAGCAATTACCCATATTAAATGGCTTTAGTAAAGGTTTACAATATAAATATTAGGCACGATTTTAATGCAGCTGCACAAGCGAGTAAAACTAAATACACGTTTTATCATACAGGATGACCATAGAAGAGTATTAATGACACTGAGACTGAAATTTCATGTTATAAAAACGTTAGTTAGCCACGCATTTAAAATGTCGTAAACTTGGATTCAATCATTAACGAGAAACAGATATTGGAAACCACGCGTAACGCTCCAGCGCTCGGGCAACGGACGGCGTCCCTGAGTTGTTGCGCCGAACAATTGCAGAACGCTTTCCTCATCTGAAACTGATCGAGTATAAAAGATGCCAGCGACCCCCCAAATGGCACACAACCACAACAGCCGAAATGAAGTTGATCTTGGCCGTCGGGCTTTTCTGCCTTGTGGCGGTAAGCGCTAGGGAGCTCGGGGAGGAGGAGAAAGACCTCGTCGCCGCTGCGAGTGGAAAGGCCAGCCACCATGAGGAGGGTGGTGGTAAGGAGCACCATGCACATCACCACCATGAGCATGGCGAGAAAGGCCACAAGGGCCACAAGGGACACCACCATCACCACAAGGGCGAGCACGGTGACCATGGCAAGCATCATCACGAGGGACATCACCACGAACATGGTGGCGGCCACAAGAAACACTGGGACGAACACGACCATCATGGCCACCACCATGAGCACGGCCACCACCATAAAGGGGGCAAACACGGCCACCACAAGCATCACGACAAGGGGGAGAAGACTGACGGCTACCACAAGAAATATCACAAAGATCACTTCCACAAGGACCATCACTTTTATGATGACGACCATCACGAGGGCAAGCACCACAAGCATGGCCATCATCATGGACATCACGAGAAGCACGGCGGAGGTCATAAGAAGGGCGGACACTCTGACCATGGCCACCATGAGCATCATCATGGCAAGCATGGTCATCATGACAAACATCATTACGACGAGGACCACCACGGACACAAGGGTCACCATGGACATGAGGAGCATCATCACCATCATCACGATCATGGCAAGAAGGGCGGCCACCACGACCACAAAGACTGGGGCTTCCATCACGGGAAGCACTAATACCGGTCAGCTGTGAAAGATCCTACCTCTATAGCCGGCAACGCATTTGTGAATCCCCTGGTGACGCGAATGTCCGTGGCCTGCTCGTTTGCCAACTTTTCCGTACAAAAAAAAAACAAAAAGATCTTTGCGAGTTTTAGTGTAACGCGCACACTTTCCCCATTTTAGATGTCAACATTTGACCGGAATATTCGTAAAGCCCTAAGACCAGTCATGACTTGCGAAAGCCTAACTCTCATTGACATCGAGCACCGTGAATGTTGACGGCAGGTTTTTATTTTATAAAACTCTCCGCTTGTATTTCACGGTCGAGTCGGTCACGCTTTTATTTGGTCTCTCGAATTGATCCCAGTAGGTTGACATCGAATCGCGTTATGTCCATTGAGCGATTCTATTTACTATTGTTGTTATTTTTTTACGGGTCTTGTTATGTTTTTCCTTCGTATTAATTTATATGTATAAGGATTTTTAATAAAATTGTTGTGATATAAACATTGTTTTCATAATGACACTGACTATCACGCTTTCACTGGAACGTTATAATTTCAAGTATCTTATATTGCTCAGCTAACTGATAACGTTACGTTACTCCGTGTTTAATTATCATCGTGAACTAAGTGACACTGTATAAAGGGAACATGATAAAATGTAAAGTCATGATAAAGGCCAAGATAATGAATAGAACTTATTCTACAAACGAACCTTGCTTCGCACGTCAAATTTAAATGTTACTTCAAGTTTCAAATGTCAAGATCTTTTTAAAGTAAATTGATGGGATAGGTGAATAACGCATATTTGTTATCTATAATCTTTTTATCATTAATCACGAAATTTGAAATTTGTCTGTCCACTTAGTAAAATAAAATGTTCTATATAATGTTGCTGCGAGTAATGCAAGTTTATATTATTACATTAAAAATTAGCTCTGTAAACCAGAAACCAGCTAAAATATACAAGGAAACTACAGAGGCTTTAATTTTTTTTTTTTTAATTTGACAATATTCTTGTTAAAAAATCAGGCAAATTATGTTCTAAGGCAGTAAGTTATAATTGTCTTATCTAAGTAATTTTGTTGTACTCTATGACTATTATATTAAATTATTATAGCCACTTATAAAAAATAAAGTAACAGACTATACATGTCCCAAGCTGGGCAAAGGCCTCCTCTAAACAGAGGGTATCCACTTATAAGGGGAGCCACTTATACGTTTTATTTAAAAATGTTTTTTTGTAATTCGGATGATTATTCAGTATGAATGTAGTAGAACTGAAAATATACTAATAGCTATGTACAGAATTCAAAGGTCGTTGTAAATTCAAACTTCCAAAGTTTAATCATGTATCCCTTACGTTACATGTAATGGTATGGCTAAAGCTTTAACTTCGTACACATAACAGCTGCTATCTTAGGCTGGAATGGAATTTCGAAACTACATTGTCCTTTTGTGTTTAATCATCATTGGTTTACCATACCGTAGTGCCTTTACATATGTCGGTGACCTATTTAGCCATATAATGTTTACAAAATACCTGTGCATTTTAAAAATTTTATATCCACATATGAGTGATTAATCAATTTTAAAAAAAATTTTTAAACCTTTTACTAAAGTAGGTAGGATTTAAAAAAAAAAAAACTTTCGCAAATTGTAATTTCAACAACATATTAGAATTATAATTTAAAAATACATAGCGTATATTGTTATCATTTGTCGATAGCACTAGAGAAACATGGTAGAGTTCTATTATCAATGCATTACTAAGTTTTATTATACCTAAACATAAAATGTATCAACATACTTAATTGAAACTGCAATTGTATTATTAATGGGACTGTAAGGCACAAAGCCGCCACGTCTGTTGACCAATGAACATTGAAATTAATAAATGACTTCGTCAAACAGCCAATAGGTGTTGAAACTAACGATCTTGAACAGAAAGTCTGTCTACCTGCCTGTCAATATTTAATAAATAACAAAAATTAACTTTTCTAAAATTTATGAATGGCACGTTGATGTTAAAATCACATTTATATATAACTAGGGACGCGCCGCGGCTTCTCACGGGTTCAATGTATTATACGTATAAACCTTCCTCTTGAATCACTCTATCTACTAAAAAATAAACCGCATCAAGATCCGTTGCGCAGTTTTTAAGATCTAAGCATACATAGGGACAGACAGACAGCGTGATGACATTATTGTATACAGAATGACTTCAATAAAAATGGTTACCCAGTGGCTATCGGAGTTTGCAAATAAACGTGGCAGCGCAATGGCCACATTTAACCTTGTAGATAAATAAATGTCTCGTTGATCGGTTAGCAACAAAGTTTTCTATACTGTCGACTACTTTTCGTAAAATGGGTTAAACTCTCCACGATGCCCCAAGGGTCTGAAGTCAATACCGGAAGAGGTAAAAACTCTACTAAAGAGTACGCCCGAGACAACGAAATGTGCATACAGCTCACAGTTTTATAACTAAACCAATTTGTATTCGGAATCCCTAAGCTACGGAACCGAGACCCACACGAAGTATAAAACGGCTATCTCGAACAATATACGTTAGCGCGTTAATGTTGTAGAGTTTGATACACAGGCTTGTGAAAAAATTTCGTCTTGAGGGCAGAATTAAGGTTCCTTAAGCCTGTAAAGCGCCTAGCTACGTTTTGAAAGGAATTTATTCATACTTATTTTGCAATGTAAATACATTAATTAAATAATTATTACAATTTATTTATTTATTTGTTAAAAACTGAATCATAATTTAAATACGAGGATGGAATATACATAGTGTGGCATAAAAATAGTACAGGGTTTTGTTTGATTTTGTGTATTTTGTTTTATATTTCATATTATATGTCGTGTTATATATCTGTTTTTCTCTAGACATTTGAAATCTAGTATGGCTTTCATATTTAATTTAAAATTTAAATTAATGAAATGAAGCGCATTGTAACTTATAACCTGAAAACATCTTAAGCATTTAAATTATCAGACACAGTCAGTCAATAAAATTATTTTTATTGAGTTTATAATTTTATTAAGATTGAATATAATTTTCTTCTATCATGTGATCTGTTCGCTATTTAATGAGATACGGAGGATTTTATTGAGTTTTATTCCATGAATAAGATCGAATGAAATGTTCGCAATTGACCATCCTATGCAAGGGTCGTTCGGGCTAATACTACCCGAGTAGAAACACCAATACGAACAAATATCAGGGAACTAGTTAACGATAGTGCTGTTCCAGCCAGTTACCTTTATCGCTTCCGCGGAGACTTGCACATGCCTAATACATGTTTATTAACACTAAGACAATTAAATAACGATTCTAAACGAGTAAAGGTTAATGAACTTTTTTTTATTGCAGCTTTCGAATAAACTAAATAACGTGTTTTTATTGAAGTATGTCAATGTAAGTTGACATGTCAGAATTTACTATATTCGTGAGGCAGAGTAAAGGTTTGCATTCAAAACTTATCGCCGTGACTGTAACAAGACGACTGGTTGTTTTCTTACTCAGAGATTAAGCATACTTATTCAGTGGGGAAATGCAGCTAATGTTCTTGACGCGTGGACTAGGTTTTATCAGGTAACATTTAATTTAGTTAGATATAATGTTGTATGTGTTATTTCATATACCTAATAATAAATTATTTAGATTTGTATTAAATAACATCCGATTTGGATGTCTTATAGACTTAGTTATAACGAACTTATGAGATATCCACTGAAGAGTCATGATAGTGTTATTATTCAGATAACATAGATTAACAAAATTATAATTATATTACATTGTTTATATTGCAGTGTGTATCAATAAAATGTGAATGGCTTAGATAAATTATAAATAATTATAATTTAGCTAGATAACGTATTTGACCATGACTTTGTTTCATGGTTTTCGAATAAAAAATATCAATTGTATCCTCCGACACTCCAGCATATTTCTTTACTGTCTAAAAATTTTAATTTTTTATGGTGCAGCGATTAGCACAATATAAAATTTAAATTATTAATTTAATATTTCTTTATATTTAATCTAGATTTTTTATGCGAAAAGTTGTCAAACGACCAGACGGTTCACCTGATGTTAAGTGAATACCGCCGCCCATGGACATCTGCAATACCCGAGGGCTACAGATGCGTTGACAACCTTTTGAAAATTGGGCTCTGGCTACCGCACTCACCAGACGAAACGCGAAAGTATTTGTCATATTTGTCATACGTTGGTCTTCTGTGAGGTCGTGGTACTTACCCGGACTCGTCTGCCCATTCGTGCAACAACCGAGGCGGCTGCCGGTAGGGCCCTACCACCGTTAAAAAAATTATATTAAAAAAAAGATGAAAATAAAGATATTAAATACTAAACTTTGTAAATTTTACTTAAGCATTGGCGGGTTTCCACAAAGTTTCATTCTAGTTAATTATTGGGAAGCGTTTTAAAAATCGTTTATAATAGTTTCTATATCGATAAAAGCTTAATTTTATGGCGTACGAATATTGTTATTACATTTATACTTATCTATACAGATGAATAAATTTGGTGTCTGTTTGTTATATTAAAAAAAAAAAACACTTTTTACTTAATACATACGGATGTATACACGGTTCATAAAACAAAATATTTTTTTTTACAATTTTTGTCTGTCTGTCTGTTTGTTTGTTCCGGCTAATCTTTGAAACGGCTGGACCGATTTGGACGGGACTTGCACTGGCAGATAGCTAATGTAATAAGAAGTAACTTAGGTTACTTTTATTTTAAATTCCACGCGGACGAAGTCGCGGGCATAGCTAGTACACAATACAATAAACATACTACAAGTAATCTTTGATAATTATTTTTTATTTCTATTGTTGTTTGGCGCTCAACATGAAACTTAGGTAAAAGTGACTTAATTAGATAAATTGTAGAACTATTTTCGAGTAGATAGCTGTTGGGTTTTGTATACGACATTTGCTCTAAAGCGTCTGCGGAGTTACCCCGAAGACGCAAGTTGCAAAATGCAGA